TAACGTGTCTCGTGATGTCTCGTGATTGATATATATATTTGTCGCATTAGGGACTGTTGTGAGGTGTCTTTTCAAGTGCCACTAGCCTGGCAAAAGACTGTGGGAGCTTTCCAGCAAGCGACACAAGTCGACACAAACGTCGTTCTGTCTTTCTTCGCATTCAATGAATTTCTTCGCATTCAATGAATAATAAAGACAGAACGACATTTGTGTCGACTTGTGTCGCTTGTTGGAAAGCTCCCTGGCATGATGAATAGTAATATATGGATCCGTTTGCGAATTTCTTCGGCGACATTAATTTTTCCATTTCGGCGGGGAGTCGCAGCAACAGCAAACTCCCAGAGGTTCGAACGTTGTGATGGACCTGTATGTTACTTTAGAAGAATTGTATAGCGGAAATTTTATCGAGGTAAGTTTTCTTTCGCCGCAAGTAAGTACAACTACTTGCTGTAAACTCGGTGACTTCGTTGAGTTCATTTTGGTGCTGATTATTTCAGATTACGAGAAATAAGCCAGTTGTAAAGACCGCGAAGGGGACGAGGAATACATGCATACATGCAGAACGAGGATATCATTGGAAAAAAAATGAAAGTTTATCTTATCTGATTGAATTATCGTCAATATCATCAGATGGGTATAAAATGCCACAAGACGCTATTATAAAATTATACAAGACACAAGAGATATACAGCATTGAATAAGTTTCATACTCTTTTGTGACCGCCACGTGTATCGTTTACAAAGATTGTTATTTTCAGTCTAATTGTAAGGAATCTGCACGACTTACATTTAATGCTGCATTATGTTATATGCACGAAAATACATCCAATGCTACCCAAGTAGCAAAATGACGTCGTAATGAAAAAAATATAAAGGTGATGTCTACTGTTCAATGATACAAAAAAAAGCAATCGCAAATATAAATTTAAGATTTAATTAATTTCAGTTGAATTTTCTTAAAAGTGTGATGGGTAAAGAAATTGCTATGAACACTTTGTTCCAGTTGAATTAATCGTTCTCGTTGCCGTAGGCTCTCCAAAATGTTGAACGGAGATTTGAGGATTGTCCAAGCTACGCGACTGAAGCAGTGGCGCTTTCAGAGAGGGGAAACTCCGTTGAGATGACGCTGTATAATTTAGAGGATTTGATACTCTACATTCTAGATGTGTCGTCGACTCTTACTACATTATTGAGAAGCCATTCTCCGCTAATTGCTACATTTTATGGAGATGACTTCATAAACAAGTGAATAAAGGCTATTTTATTATTGGTTTCCTATTGACATAATATTGATTAGTTTTTAATGCTTTGGTATAACACATTTATGCGCTCTCAAAACAATTTGTCTGACGCTGCACGTGACATGCTGCTCGAAACTTGTAGTACATTGTACAATGTTTTTATATTGGCGTCACTATATCGTTTCTGTTCGCTAGGATAGTTTCGTTATATGGGAGTACAATACCTGAGATGTATAAAAAGCTGGATAAGTTAGCATATAAGGAGGAAAGTATACCAAAGTACATGGAATTGAAGCATCGTCTCGATGTAACCAGAGTGGAGATGTTAAGTCTTTATCGAATTATTACTTATGAGCCCATATTAAGTATTCAGGAAAAGATGTAAGTGTGAGGAAGTACCACCTTGTGATAAGAACAATTTTAACAGAATATTCCGATTAAAAGATTGGATTTATTTACTAACATTATATCTGCAGGAACACAATAACGGAAGGCGAGATAAGAAATTGCATAGACGAATATTTGAATACACTAATGAATGCTATATCTGAAAAAGAATTCATTATAGATTATCATCAGTTTTACCCAATTGATGCCGATCTCGAACATATAACCAAACTTTGTCCTGATGTGTATCCTTTTGTAAAGAAATTACAATGTTGGGGGGAGATTTTAAAAGTTTAGTTTTTCCTTTACTTTTAGCATTCAGTGATACGATAAAATGCGAGTATATATTACATTCATTGCATGCAACGATTGGAGATGCTAAGCCGTCAGTCAGTGCGTCTCTCAATAATGCAAGTGTAAGTAACAATCTTGCAGATGTATGCGTAGGTTTAAAAATTTCGTGTTATGTATTATTGTATTATAGATAGCCGTTGCTGGATCTAGTGGTGTTCAAAGCAACCAACGAAAAGAACATTCCAACAATGTGAATTGCGTAAATGATAAAACAGACTTTGCCTTGAAAGAGCCTGAGAACATAATGTCTCTAATCGCGGAAGTGAAAGAGATTCTCTGCGATTATGGTGAAGGTTTCATACAGGTAAGACTTTTGTTAAATGTTAAATTTATTAAATTATAAATGGAAATAATGGACGAAAAATGGAACTTAGTATTAAATTCGCCAAATAAGGAATGCTAAATAGTATTGTTATAAATTTGTGTAATCTAAAACTTTCAGCTATATTTAAAGCATTATAATTATAACGTTGAATCTGTGATAAATGCAGTTCTGGAGCCGACGAATTTACCACGTGATTTGAAAGAATTAGATAAGACAATACCATATATACCACCCGATCCGATGGTAAGTGATGGAATAATTTCTACGCCGTGACAAAGCCAAGATAGCAAAGGTTAATTGTTTATGTAACGGAATGTGTTCGTAATATAATTGAAACTTACATGGAGAACTTCGTCAACAGAACCAGATACAATCGAGTCGCGCCTGACAGTCATGAGAATGAAACCAGTATGAAGAACACCATTATGCAGTGGCACGTGTATGTCGAAAACATACTTAAGCAATACGTGAGAACAAATAAGGCTGGAGTATGCATGAATTGTCACGAATATCTCCCAAAGATTTCGACGCTCCATAATAAAATAATGATAAACAATAAGAAGGATGCACCTTCCAAGGAGATGCTCTCTCGCCAAGTGGTGCACAAGCTGGAGCCGGTGATGATTATGCCAGATCAATCTAAGGAATATCTGCGGCAACTGTGGAAAAACGAAAAGGACTTTCTCGAAATAATTATACCCTGCTTAGAATTGGTAGACATCGAATATCCTACCGACGTGTTCTTCTTCGAAGTGATACCCGTACTACCGCCGATCGTACGGCCGGTAAATTTCCTTAATGGTCAAATGGTCGAGCATCCTCAGACTCACATCTACAAGGGCGTTATACAGGACTGTTTGAGGCAAAATGTGTCTCGTTTCTATTGCAGAATCACTCCAGCATCCCCTTAAAGGCCAATGTCCACGATGCTAGAACTTGGTCCAAGTTCTAGTTTCGAGAAATCTGTAGCCAATCAACGTACAGCTATAAAAGCTGCAAGTTGATTGGCTACACGTTTCCTGGAACTAGAACTTGGACCAAGTTCTAGCATTGTGGACACAGGCCTTTAGGGGTTAGCTCACCTTGACCGGGTCGAAATTAATGTAATTTTCATTTATATTTATACATTTTTTTATTTGTACAAGTTATTTTTTATTAACAATAAAAATTGATATTGCCGGTCCAGTATCCTGGACCTTGGCCGTGTCCGCGTCCGCGTCCGCGTCCGCGTTCTCGTCCTCGTCCTCGTCCCCATCCTCGGCCTTCCCCTCTGCCCCATCTGCCCCTTCCGCCTTTCTGCCATCGAGCTGAAAAATATAAAATTAACTGTATTATATGAGCCTGTATATAAAACAAAATAAATAAATTATACTCATATTGATTATTAATTATACTTACGTTTCGAGAAGAATACTTCTCGCGACGATCCTCGCGACGATGTCGGCTGCGGCGGCGGCGGCGGCAGCGTTAGCGGTGGCTGCTGCAGAAGCGGCTGCGACGTCATCGCCGTTGTCGGCGGCTGCGGCGTCGTCGCCGTCGTCGGCGGCGCCGGCGGCGGCGGCTGCTGCTGCAGATTCGCTGTCGTTGTCGGCGGTAGCGGAGGCGGCGGCGGCGGCTGCTGCTGCAGATTCGCCGTCGTTGTCGGCGGTAGTGGAGGCGGCGGCGGCGGCGGCAGCGATTGCTGTCGAGATGCTGAATTTACACCTTGTAAATTCAGCATCTCCACGTCCTCTACCGCATTTAATAATTCACGGTCGATGTTTCTAGAATCGGAAAGAATATAAATAATTATTTTTATTTAATGCCATTGATTTAACAATGTAGAAAAATTGCATGACGACCAACGGCTGGAAATTAAAGATATTCATTGCGAAAAATGGTTCACACCCTGGTTGAGGTAATATTTTTCGCAATGAATTGCAATTGGCAGTCATTAGCCGTCATGCATTAGAAAAAAATATATTTGTTGTACTTACGTGTCGTTCATCTCCGAGTCAAGATCCATTTGACCATTTCGTCTTTTGACCCGAGGTAACATAACATTATCAGCGCCACACGCGACGCGACGCGCCACGTGAGACTCGCGCGCCGTGCGATGTCCAATGAGTGTACAGCTTTTAGCCCGGGTCTATGATAGGTGTAGTAACTTTAGATCGTAAGAAATTGACCAATCACAAGCGATTATTCTCGTCACTTCAGACTGTGATCGGTCAATAAATGTACGTGTCTCTTGATATCTACTACTATAGTAGAAATAATATCTACTACTATAGTAGAAATAACGTTCAAGAAACTGTAAATCCTTTAAGACATTACTTTTTAATTGTTCAATGTCGTAAGAATATATAATGAATCACGTATGTAGCGACACCAACTGTGTAATTATGTAGAGATTTACATGGTCGATAAAACTACATTATCTCTAGGGATTAACAAGGTCGATAATGTTGGTGGTGCATAATCGACTGTGATCTTTCATGACAGCTGTAATCAGTGGTCGTTGTCAAGCGTTGTCAATGTAAAAATTGGTTATGTTTTGTGTTTCCATTTCATGGGTGGCCGTTTCGATTTCGTTGCGATATTTTGTGACACGGAAATTGAAATAGGTATTGTGGTAAGTCATCATCATAGATTGCATGTATTGTGTTATCATTTCATGCGTGACCGTTTCAATTTTGTCGTAGGATTGTGTGTCTTGGGTGACACGGAAAGTATTATACCGTATCTCGTGATTGTGTGTCTTGGGTGACACGGAAAGTATTTATTATAGCTATTTTGGTAAGTCATAAAAATTTGTCTGTTTTTTAAATAACATGTAGATTAAATCGTCAAATTTATCATTGTCACGTACGATATTCGATTTCCGAGATGTAATGTCAAAAGCAGGACCGGCAATAAAATCTAGTATGTTTTGATAACTTTTAACAAAATATATGTTTTATAGTCATATTTATGTTAATTCTTCAAAAATGACGTGTTCATTATGCACTGATTAAAAGTGAAACAATAAATATGTGCTCGTTACATGCTCACCAGTACGGTAGTGTATCCAAGCTTTCTAATCTTTTAAAACGTGTTTGTACCTTTTTAATTAATCTTAGAGGTGCTAATAAACGTTTCAATTTCTAATGTAATAACGAAATACCATATAAATTTTATTAAAAGTTTTAGGAAGGAAACAGTTCCTCTGGCCGGTTTGCCTTTTATCATTACATCGCCGAAATCGGATCTCGTATATTATGATACGTCGTTGATGACAAATTAAGATTATATTATTATTGTCTACATTAATGTAGAAGTTTGAGGAGACTTTTCTATAAAGCTAAAGATGCCAGTATAAAGAGTGACTGTAAAAATCGCCTGGCTTGCGGCCCTCGATTCGGGATCGAATCGTATGCAAATCAGTTCCTTATGGTAAGATATTAATGGAAAAAAATTTCAACTTGAGGTGACATTTAGTTTGGAAATATGAGAGGTCAAAGTTCTAAAAAAACTAACTTTTTTCGGATTATGTTATACAGACCAATACTAACAATTATCGTAAAGTGGTTTGGTCACTAATTATGAATCTGGACTCATAATTAAAACATGTAAAATGTTGAATCCAATAGGGTACAAATTCGAGAAAAACTGAGTCAATTGTAAGCGTGTCCTAATCTGTCGCTTGCAGATTACGGTTTTTGACTCTTGAAATTACTCGTTTCAAGACGCTCGCACTTCTCACTCTCTTGCTTTTACATCTCGCAACGTGCTCTGTACTTTCCGCTTACACGCGCTTTTCCATTCTTGTTCTTGTGCGCGTGTAAACAAACGCCCTATACAGTATAACTTTGAACTCTCATATCTCTAAAACTTGAAACTTTTTTTCTATATCTTATTATAAGGAGTGATTCGCATATGAATCGATTCCGAAATCGAGGGCCGCAAAACAGGCCGTCCTCTTTACAGTCACTCTTTAGTCGTACAATTATTATTAGTGTCAACATGAGTTTGATGAATATTTGTTTCAATTTGATTAGTCATTTTTAATTGAACAGTAAGAAGATTTTGTACCATATCTCAGATCTGTCAGCCACTTTGCTAACTTTGCTAATTGTTCTTTTAATTGCTAACTTTGCTAATTGTTCTTTTAATTGCTAACTTTGCTAATTGTTCTTTTAAATTGCAAAATTTTTTCATGAAATGAAACAATTGCTGGATTACTCATTATTAATATACCAGAAATATCTTTAGTTGCTTGCTCAAAAGGTTGTAATATCTTCATTATTTGTCTAACTAATCTTCCTTTGTTAAAATTTTAAGAACCGAGTACTCATCATTTAATTGAATCAATTTAATAGCATGATGATTTTCAGGATTAGCAATATACTTAAAATAATTTGTGTTTATATTGTGTTTATAGTAGATTTTACCTCTCTACACCTCTCTATAAAGGTAAGTCTCTTATTAATCTTTCTCCTGTTTTTTCTTTTTCTTTTCTTCTATTTTTCTTTCTTTTTCTTCTTATACTATAATCTTATACTAAAAGGCTGCTGTGCGCCAACACAAATCGGCTGCTGTGCGCTGATTATAAAAGGCTGCTGTGCGCCTATAAAA